CGGCAATCAATGATTCCAAAATTAGAAACCGCGATCGGATCTATAAAAAAAATGTATGATGGAATCTGATAATACGGGGGCTATAAAGCTATGAGGGCTACAAAACCAGAAAGCTGTCGAAAAAATTATATCGGGTGTTTCAAATTCGACTCTCAGCGCATTGAGATTTTGGGAAACAATAAGAGTTAAATGCCATGTATTTCTGGAGACAGACTTTTGCCTGACTTTGAGATGGGATTTTATAATTAAAGGTACATCAACATTGCTACTTTTTCTCCTCTACAAGGTGGTAATTTCATTTAGACGTTTCAAGGATTGTGCTATAATCAAAAAAATACGATACACCCTTACCCTCCTCCTTCTGAAACGTCAAAAACGAAGATTGAGCGATTTTTATTTTTTCCGCCACCTTAGCACTGATTTTCAAAATCTTTTTCGTTCTGGGCATAGTAAAAACCTTGCGTGAAAATTTCGTCAAATTCCGACTGCTACTTTTCAAGCAGACGACGAGTCAAGGATCAGCGAGCAGACAGACACAGACCAACAGAAGTGAGTGACATGGTTTTTCGTAATGTTTATATTTGGTTGAAAAAAGGCCAAATATATGGTGAAAATTATAAAATAAGTTCGATAAAACTATTTATGACAACATATTTTTGTTGACATCTACCCCATAGACGACAGATATGTAGACACAACATTCCATAAAAGCTTATGAAGATATCATATATACATTGTATCCATATTTTTTATTTTCCTCTGTATAAAAGGTAACACGTTGATATATGTTACTGATACACAGAGGTACGTGTATTACTCAAAGTCAATTCGTTTGGCTTAAGAAGCGTCCCGTTATTTGGAGCTCTAAAAAGATTTTAGTTTGGAAGGCTAAAGGCACACTTTCAATGATCATGTCTTAAGCTATTCAGAACCTCTAAAATTGATTATTGTTCATTTTTCAAAAGAGGTAACTTTATAAAGATAATTTATTCTAACTATAATGATATACTTCATGGAATTCTATTGGCAAAAACATCAAAATATGGATAAAACATTCTATATAATACTATAATACGAGGTCTGTAAATTAAGTGACGAAACTGGCAACGTAGCGTTCGATCTGGCAACACTGGAGGCACCTGGCCTGGAGGAGACACAGGAAAACAGTTGGTCCGCCTTCAGTACAAGTTTAAACTCGCTCATTTGGTTGTCCGAAGCAGAATGCATCTGAAACTCTTGCTAAACTTCAGCAGGACAACGGAGATAGTGCTTTGTAAGGATCACAGGTCATCACAACCATGTCAAAAAACGAGTTTTTGGCGAGCAAACATATTCCTGTGGCTCCTCAGCCTCCATATTTGCCTGACTTGAGTTCTTGTGACTTTTTTCCCGAAAGAAAAAATCAACTCAAAGAAACTAATTTTGGGTCAGGGGCCGTTCAAGTATTACGTGAGCAATATGGGGGCGCGGGGGGTCTTTGCTTTGCTTATTTTGGATGACATGGGGGTAGTAGAGTCTAGATGATGATTACGTCATCGGTGGTTATTTACTTTTTTACACGAATGGCAACCCTCACATCGTCTTTGCCTGAAAACGAAACGCATTTTCGGGGATTCCCGCAAATAATACATACGTTTAGTGAACAGCGCGCGGTAATTCCCCTACCCGCTTTAGAACCGAGTAGGGGAATTACCACGCGGTGTTCACTTGTCTTAATTTCCTCTATCAGTGTATTGTTTCGTTTGGATACTACAGCGAGTAGACGTATTGTAAGCATAGTAAAGCAAGTTAACACTTGTGTTACCATTGATTCCATTAGCCAAAGTTCAATGTTCAAATAAGATGTCGTGTCACATAGACAAATCCAAGTTATACCAAAAATTTTTTGAAAGTTTTAAAAAATCTCATACAAGTACGAAAGTACAAAATGTACAAAATTTAGTTAACGAAGTGTGACGAAATTACAAATTACAAGCAAAATCCGATAAGGAACTAGATATTATTGTATCTAAGAGAATCGAAGAAGAATTGCAAGCGGCGACTAAGAATACATCCAATTTACTAAATTTTTTTTTCTAAGGTGAGTGACGAAATAATTTTAGGTACCTATGAGTACTAGAAATATTAGGAATTGCCAAAATGTTTCTCTTTACTGATTAGAAAATATTATGGCCTATCTCAAAGTATAGAGGTAATATTCATTATATTATAGATTTATTTCTTATGATTGATTCCGTCAATTGCTCACAAAGTACAGGATGTTAGTTTTACACATATATACAGAAGACTAACGCACTGTATTTTGTGACCGGAACGAATTGCTCGTTTAAACATGTTAGATTTTGAGCCATAGGGTTTTGTATTTACCATATATATTGCCACACTTTGTACTTGTGTAGCTTAATAAGAGAGTCTTTAGCCGAAGCCATAGAAAGTTTTTATTTTTAGGCAACCTGTAAACCTGCAGAAAAAACACAAATTATACAGTCAATTCAAATATTGAAAAACAGGAAGAAGATAAAATTAAACCCGGTAATGAATCACAACAGCAATGCGAAATTAATGAAAATACAGATAAACAGAGATCAAAACCTTCTCAGGAAGCTATGAAAAATAAGATTCCTCTACTCGAAAAAAAACGGAATGCTTTGTATTCTGCCAGAGATACTATTCCAAGCCGTGCTGAAGTTGATAAACAGATCATTAAGTTGCGCGAGGAAATAAAAACAGCAAAACAGTCTTTAAACAGGAAGGCTAAACACGCAGTTGCCCAGAAGAAACACAGGGATGGTATGAAAAGAAAGTTAGAAGATATTTGTCATGAAAATCCAGAAATAAAAAAAGACTATCTCTGAGGGATTCAGTGGGCCGTCCTAATCTTGAAAGCCATCAACATTCACTATTGAAAACAATCGCGGATATAGCTTTATTTGGGAGTGCAGCAGATGATAGAAGACGGACGGAATCAATTCGCAGCGTAAAAACTGTTGATGAACTCACACAAGAATTACGGAAAATAGGATTTGACATTAGTCGCAGTGAGACATATCTTCGTTTGATTCCTAGAAAATCTAATTCTGCAGAGGGACGAAGACATGTATCGACAGTCCCTGTTAAGCTCATTCGGACTCAGACTGATCACCACAAGAGCCACTTAGATAGCAAGTTCGCTGAAACATCAATCCATTATTAAGAGAACATAGCATCCATACTTGGACCAGATCAAGTATTTTTCATATCTCAAGATGATAAAGCTCGAGTCCCTGTTGGCGTAACTGCGGCAAATAAGCAAGCACCTCTTTTAATGCACATGAAATATAGAATCAAATTGCCTGATCACGATTGAGTAATCGCTGAGCGTCATAAATTGATACCATCTGTTTATACTGGTATCAAAATCACTTCCAATATGCTAGGACAACCGCAAGCCGTTGAATATTCTGGACCAACATACATCGCTATTCGAAGTGGAAAGCATAGTTCATCTACTGCTAATACTTATGCTCAGGATTTCGAGACGCTTCTCGAACTTGAAGAGTTTCGACCATTAGCTAAAACTGACCCTGGACTTGTAAAACCAGTGGTAATTTTGACGGTTGATGGAGGGCCAGATGAAAATCCACGTTATCAAAAAGTCACAGGGTTTGCTATACAACACTTTAAGCGACATGATCTCGATGCATTGTTTTTAGCTACCAATGCTCCTGGAAGAAGTGCGTGAGTCTCATTTGGATCAACTTGGCGTTACAATTGATGAACCTTTAGAAAGATCTAATTACGAATTTGCAAGAAATGTATTAGCTGAAGTATGGAGTTCAATGGAAATTGATGGCTATAATGTTAATGCAAAATATGTTGGGGCAGGTGAACAAGATCGTCCTGATTTTCCAGACATTAAATGGTATTCAGAACATGTGCGTGAGAGCCAATACTTGCTTCAAATTGTAAAATGTAGAAATACAGAATGTTGTCGTCCAAGAAGTGGCCTATTTAGATTACTAGACAATAGGTTTCTTCCACCACCTGTAAAAGTAAAACAAACAGTTGATGACTTGGTTTTGGATGAAGGAGGGCAATTTCTTAATCTTCCAGTCAATTTAGCTCTACCCTTAAGTAGAAAGATTTCCTGCGAATGCCCTACGATTATTTCGAGCACCATGATGTTGAATGGCTCGATGAGAACGACATAGACATTCCAAAATCCGATGAAGGCCAGAAAACTGAGCAGCAATCGAAGCAATCCAATCTCATCGAAAACTTAGAATCATGGATTCGGGTTTCATGGACTGAAGACTGTTGATTTGAATTTGATATATGTACCAAAATTTTAAAATAAGTTTGTTATGTTAGTAAGATATAATATTTTTGTGCTTTACTCTATGTTGAACACCGTATCAGTAAAATATAATCTCTACCCTAAATCTATTTTCTTATTTTTCAAATTATAATTATAATGTTATAATTATAATATTAAAATAAAAATAATACATTAATTGACAAATGTTTACGTAAGCATGGGGGGACGGGCTTTGCTCACTTTTGCTGACATGGGGGATGGGGGGGTAAATAATTGTAATAAATCTGCTTACGTAATACTTGAACGGCCCCTCAGTCGAAATCATTGAAACTGCTGCAACCAACCAGATGAAGGGTATTCCAGTATCGGAGATCCAGCACATCTATAGGGATCGGAAGAACCGTATTGGGCGCTGTGTGGCACCAGAAGGAAGTTATTTTGTGAGTCTCAAGATAAAATTGTAATTCTTTTTGAATTAAAAATAAATAAAAAAATTTACACCTAATTTACCGACCTTGTAATGAGATGAAATCAAAGGAAAATGCTTCAATACAATCGAAAAGTGAAACAGTTGTCGCCGAATGACGACATGCTCAACGGCGCGGCGTACCAAATTTGATGGCGAAGTGAGACTTCTTGAGTTACAGTATCGTAATGACAGTGCACATAGAGAAGGATTCTTACTTTATTATTCTTTTTACAGTGATTCCCCAATCGTGCAGGTTCAGAGGAGTGAAGTACGAATGCGGCCTAAGCATCAGCTGTGTCTTGGGAGGCGGCCGACCTCTTGATCTGTGTTCTGGAGGCATGATATGGGCATGCTGCGTGGACAGAGATGCCTCAGCATACACGCCGGTTCACAGACCCACTAACGAAATCGCTGTGTTGCAGAATGCCAGTAAGTACAAAACAACTTTCGCGTTAAACACAACGTCGAAAAAACTATAAAAGGCAATATAAGTTAAGAAAATCTATTACCATTCGAAACAAGGAAAACACAGGAGCCTCAAAAAAAATCATATATTGGAAACGGTAAGAGACGAACTCGGTTAAATCGAAGCAAGCATGTTCCTTTAAGTAGATAATTAAGAAAATGACACTCCAAAAGTTTAATAGTTCAGTATATTTCTGGCGATAAAAAAGACAGAATTTTCTCAAAACCATTTTGATTTTCTCTGACTTCATCTGAGATAGGATTTTAAAATAGAAACTACATTAACATTGTCATTTTTCTACATACCAAGTTCCATAATTAGAATTTCAATATGAAGTTTGGTCTCTTGTCCTCAATAATCCACTTTATTTTTTCTTATAGCCGCCATATTGGATGATTGCACAGGTATATAGTGTTTTTAATCCCGGTTCCAGAAATGTATAATATGTCATTAACGTTGCCAAGCTTCAGTTGATGCAAAAAGAGGATCTCCTAAGTAGGCCTTGAAATGATCCGATAGCCATTTGTTTCAGAGTATGGTCACACAACCATTCCTTCAGTCTTTATGTACTAGGCATAGAATAACAGTCCCTAGTTGCGATATTGTACACACCTCATGACATGGAATGGTATTATAAAGCTTCAAATATCTGAAAACGTAACCGTCGTATATTTGCTCTTAAATTTTTTCATTCTATCCAAGGATCACATTGAAAACATTAACAGTATGATTTTAGAGTGAGTAACAGCCTCAAGGCTGTTGCATCTTCCTAAGCACATTTCATATCCTTCATATCTAAAGCGATGCACACATCTTACCTTCAAAAATTAATCTACGGCTGAGGTATCATGTAGAGAGCCCCCATGGTGCTATAATAACGCCTGGTATAGTCCATAAATGGACATATTATCTTAAGGTCTATTTTCTATTTCTATTTTCAAAGCCAGCTATCAAAATATCTTCTAAAAAATATGACAATGTCAGCGTATGAGATGTAATCTATTTTTGGGATCAGATTTAAACATCCTGTTCACTTGTTCAAAACTCGAATATGGCGTATATAAGAAAAAATAAAGCTGATAATTTAATACAAAAATCGGAACATCATATTGAAATTTTAATTATGCCATCTAGTAGAAGAGAAAATGTGACAATATTAATGCACTTTATATTTTGAAAGCGAGCTTTGGTATTACAAACGGTACATCCTGTATAGAATTTTATGTGCTTTTTGAGGCTCTGGGTTTCCGGAAATTTTTAATAAGCTTTTGATACAAGAGACAAGAGTTTGTCGAAACTTTGACGTTCATCAAACATGTTTACCCAGCCGAATCTTTGTATCTTCAGATGAAGGGAGGCATTTCCGCTTACCCTGAAGGATATAAATTGGTTACAAAAAACAATCAATGCAACTTTCCTCCAAAATTCTGTATAATTATGTATCATTTACGTGCATACAATCCTTCTGATGTACGAGTAGATACAGAGTGTTTCAGTGAAAATCGGAAGTAGTTTTATCAGCAAACTCTAAGAATCTGTTTCCGTGGCAATCTTGATATGTTACTAGTGCGTATTTTGAAATTATTTTAATATATATTGAATGTCTTTGTGTCATAAACATATTTTTAATAGAAACCGCATATTTAATTGTCCATTTGAATAGAGCTTCCAAAACAAAGAAGTTAAATTTATGATGTCTAGATATTTGGTCAAACGTCTGAAAAACTGACCAGCTTTGACGGACCGCAGCCCCAAATTTTTTAAGATGTTTAGATAAATCTTAGTTGACAAAAATCTTAAAATCAGTTTAAGCTGATCTGGGAAGAGTGCTTTATACAGGGTATCCCAAAACGCAAAATGCACCTTTTCTCAAGCAATTCAAATGGATCATCATGTATATTTCTACATCGTCAAATGCCCTTTTGGTGAACGGTTTGTAGAATATAGGCTTCATACAACTTTTCTTCAAACGTTTTTGAGTTATTACTATTATCACGTAACCAAATAAGTTCGTGCGGTTTTTAGTAGAAACATATAATTTTTTATTGAGAAACAATTAGACACTATTTATTCGTCGAAGTAATTACCATCTCATTCAATGACCTTTTGCCAACTTGGAACTAATTTTTGTATGCCACTATTGTAGAACTCCCTGGATTTAGAGTAAAAAAATTGAAAGACTGCATTGTCGAAATGTCAGGTGAATATGGCGGGTACGGTAATGTTTCCCAGCCGAGTTCAGAAATTTTTTCTCGGGTCACTTTTGTGGTACGAGGTTGGCGTTATCCTCCAAGAATATCACTTTCTTCCGATAGATCAAAGGATGCTGTTTCTGGATGAGTGCTGCTTGTACTCGTTGAAGCTGCTCACAATACGAGTTAGCGGTGATGGTTTGACCCCTTTCCAAAAACTCGTAATGGACAATTCCAGTTGCTGTCCACCAAACACTTAACGACACCTTGTTTGGGTGCAAGGAAGCCTTGGGCGTGTGTGGTACCAAATCAGTAGGCGACAACCAATGAAACGAACGCTTAGAATTCGAGTAGGTACAAGAGCCGTTTTTCGTCGCAGGTTACTAACCGATTAAGAAATGGTTCATTAGCGTTGCGTGAAATGTTTGCTGAACAAATGGTAAGACGACTTAATTTGTTATCATTTGTCAGTTCATGTGGGACCCATTTGCTTAAATTCCACGTCTTTCCTAGCTGATGAAGAGTTTCAGGACTCACTCTGAACATTTCTGCAAGTTCTTGGCACGTTTTCCTGGAATTTGCGGCCACAACCTGACGAATATTTTCGTTGTTCATGATTCTTGGTCTCCCTGAGCGCGGTTCATCGCTCAAACTGAGATCTCCGCAAGAAAAATTTTTGAACCACTTCTGTGCTGTTCGATCACTAACGGGAACATCTCTGAATGCCGTACATATTTTTCGCGCTGCCGCTGCAGGTTTTGTACCAGGTTTGTACTCATACAGTAAACAACTTCGAATTACTGTTTTATTCGTCGCCATTTTCAATTATTAAAAGTAGGTATGTAACAATTTTCAGCAATTTTTTATGTGTGTGAGAAAAGAAGGATTCATACTAAAGTGACTACAGGTAACAAACAATCTCTATCGATCAACAAAATGCATGGGAATGTGCGATATACAGCAACAGCAAGAACTTATTTGGTTACCGACAATTTCAAGAAGAAATGCAGATGATGAGATTTAAACATAAAATCAAATCTTCTATCAAAGCAATAGCTTTTGATACATTGTTGAAATATGTTACACCTTGGTGCAAAGCACACTAGGCAAGACACCGGTTGAAATGATCTTGCACATCTAAAAGGGTTTGCCCACGTATCCTCTTAAACGACTCACTTATACGATGTTTCATGTCCTCGGGTATTGTAAGTTACTCCTGGTGAACCTCTCCTTTCACATGGTCCCAGAGAAAGACGTCAAAAGGCGTCAGATTGGGAGATATCGTTGGCCAAATGATCGGTCGGCCTCTGCCTGTCCCACTATCAGGGTGCCAGCGATCAAGAAACTCCCGTACCGCTAGTTGTTAAATTTACATTCTCTAGTGAAAGATGTTACCCAAGTTGATGAAACACCGTGGTCGTGAGAAAACACAGGACCTGAGAACATCTGAAAACAACACAACCACTTGGGATAAGATGAGTCTTGTGCGAAAAAAATCATTGTTATCATGGAAGATATGATTTTAAGTCTAAATGTAAAAGACATTTTTTTTCTTGTAATCGATAGCAATAACTCTAAAACTGTTCAAAGAAGACGGTATTAAACTTTTATAAGTAAGAGTTCCCAAGGAGAGCTATCTAATGATGTAGAACTATATAGGGTGTTCCATTTGAAATTTATAAGACAAGGTACATTTTACGTTTTGAGGTATCCTGTATAAACAAAAAGATATTTTATCGTTTATGCATTCTAATAAATATACACATGTCTAAACAATTGATGATCGAAACCATATGTTATATATTATCAAACTTCTCGTTTTTAGAAGCTCTATTCAATATGCAATAAAGTATGAGGTATTCTGTTTAAAAAAATACATGTTTACTGTGGCACGAAGCTATGAAACACCCTGTATATAATGAAATTATTTCAAAATTTGCACTAGTAGCATATCAAGGTTACCACGGAAACTGATATTTAATATCTTTTCCGGTTTGCTCATAAAACTACTTCCCATGTTTGTTGGGACACCATGTATAGTTTGTTGACAGGTTTATTTCGGATGTAATGGGGCCATAAGAACTTTTAATAAGAAATTGGTTCTCAAATAAATAAATTTGTCGAACTGAACTTTTTCTAGATTATTTCTTATATATTAACAGAAAACCTAAATTTCAATATCTAATTTCATTTTCTTCCGTTTCTAATAACAAATGATGACCTCGTAATTCTCGTAGATGATGGAATACCTTCTTGATTCCAAATGTACTTTAAGAAATACTAGAGATTTAAAAATTTACATTAAAAGTCAAAATAAGCTGGATTTTTTACTAAACTTTCAAAAACATCACGAAGCTGCTACTTTTCTAGACAACACAAAGCTTGAAAATATAAACGCATCATTTCTGCGTTTTACTCTAAATTCTCCACAAATTTATCAGACTGCTACTCATCGTTATTTTACGGCATGATGCTCCGAAGTGGTTCTCATTTATCTGTTGTTTTAGAAAAGACTCATCCCAAATTAAAATCCGCTTAAAATTCATCGAATTCACGAAAACACGCCTCAACATTTTCATACAGACACCACCCTGTTCCTTTCGTGTCATTGTAAATATACCACCTCCATCGTAGTATACTAACCCATCTAACCTCCATGTCACCCCAATTGTATCAGACACATACCATCTAGTAAGCCATTACCCACCAACCCCTGTAGTGGATGATGGAGTGGACAGCAACACTGTGGACAGACCATACAACCCCCCACCACCACCCAGGCCACCAATAAGACCATCGATCCACAGTCGACCGCCTGAAGATGACTACGAAGATTATATGGACGATGATCAGAGGCCTTCGGCTCTGGATGGTCCACCCAATGTCAGCGGTAAATTGTGTTACTAACAGACTTTTATTCTAATCTTTGGGTGGAGGCGCTGTCTAGGAATTTCGCAGATGTACCGATATGTATTTGGATGCTAAGGGTTGCTTACGAGCTGGCTATGGAGATCAAGGATCAAACTAAAGGAGGACGTAGGTCATTTCCAATATACAGGGTGTTTCAGTTTATTGTTGCATAACTTTAAGAGACGATAGAACTTTTAAAATTAATGCATAAAGTCTATATAAACATGGGTCGAAAAATGCGTGGCTTCCGAAATACAGGGTGTTTAAGTTTACTTTCTAAAATAGTTTTTTTTAAATATTTCGAACAATATTTGATGTATAACAGTGAAAATTGGTATACAATGGTTTTTTTGGTACGACAAAACAGTTTTACTGTAGCCGCTAGGATTTTTTCTTAGTGCAATTTTTGGCTTTTTGAATAAAAAAACTCATTCTTCGCACTTTTCTGCATAAAAAAGCTCTCCTGTGAGTTTTCGTTATAGTTAGCCGTTTTTGAGATATTTCGATTTTTAAGGTTCCATGCATTTTTAATTATTTATGGGAAAATAATATTTTTTTTACATTTTCGATTTGGGCATTACAAGCAATTAAGATGATCGTTTAGATAGTGTTTTTAAACACAGCAATAATTCCTAACTCCAAATAAACACAAAAAAACAGAATATTAATTTGTTTAATTTTCCAATATTATTTTTAACAAATTAAATTAATTATTTACAACTAAAATGCTATTGGATAGTTAGGACAAACTTACAAAATCTAAAGTAGTTGCTCGAAATGTAAACCCAATTGTTCAATACACAATTCACATCTACGAATGATCGAACGTGGCATTATTCAAATAAGGCCTTATTTCATCACATACATTCCTGATTCTGTCTATTAGCATATCTCTTGTGGTTACGGGAGTCTGGTACACTTTTTCTTTTAGGAATCCTCACACAAAGAAATCTAATGGATTTAGGTCAGGGGATCGTGGAGACCAGGCGACTGGTCCTCCACGGCCGATCCATCTTTCTGGATAATTTTTGTCCAGCCAGTTTCTAACTATTCTCGAATAATGAGCTGGACAACCATCAAGCTGGAACCAAGCCAATTTTCTTAAATCTAACATAACATCATCCCAAATATTTGGATGCAATCTCAAGCTTGACAGCAAATACCTTGAGAACAAATGTAGAATTTTTTGTCGATACCTGAACCGCAACGCTAACACAAACTTCAGCTTCAGAGTCAAGAACATAACCTATAAAATTTTCATCTGCCGAGAACTGAACAAGATATGCCACACAGAACTCTTAGAATTCGGTTTTGAAACAGCAATGTCCAATAACTGTCAGGTGTCCGATAACTAACGATTTACCATAATATCGTAAAGGCCACCGTTCACCAAGTCTATACAGTATTTTTCAAAAGGCTAGGCGTCACCCTGTAATTCTATACTTCTAATATAGTGATTCGAGTAATATCTATCATCTGCGAGATTCCTAGATTGAGGAACAAATTAATTTTTCATTGTGGATGGGAACTACAGACAAGCCATGTAACTTTTGAGACATTTGAGTTTCTTTGCAAATAACTCACCACACCGATTTCAATTGCAATCAAAAGATCCCATGTACTTGTATGGCTATGAGGCGTGAATCATGTTCAGGATTTTCACATCCGTAGTAGTTACGCGAGTAAAAAATTTGGGATGGCCGCGTTGCTGCCAGTAATAAGTGGCATGGATTTAAGTGATTCAGAAGTTGACTATTTTCATTAAAAGACAAACTTGAAGCAAATTATTTATGGCATGCTTATCAATATGACTGTAGCTTGTGATTACATTGTTCTTCAATATACAACTATAATTTCCTCCACCCATTTTCTGTCTTTCTTCCTTTGTTAGACCTAGTGATATTTGATCTTCGTCGGCACCCGTCACCACTTCCAGTTTCCAGACACAATGGCACTTGTACCCGCTTTACCCTTCGATATGTATTGATCAGTATTTATGCATTCTAGGTTGTGGAGAACTGCACACCAGGACCAACAGGATCGTGGGTGGTCACGCAACAGGGTTTGGGTCCCATCCTTGGCAGGTGGCACTGATCAAGACCGGGTTCTTGACAAAGAAGCTGGCTTGTGGAGGAGCGCTGCTTAACGAGAGGTGGATTGTAACAGCAGCACATTGCGTTGCAACGTAAGTATATGCACCCAGAAGTCTGAAGTCACAGTACAAGTTTGCTTATTCAGAAGCGATAGTACTCCAGAACTTTATGCCTTCGGATATTTGTGCACTGAGAAAAACATTTAATCAAAACTAGAATAATAGGACTTAGGCCCATATCGTCAGTCATCCCTACAATTATAGGGCGCGTTTATGGCCTCCTTGATTGTCATAGTTTTCTACTTCTCCGTGTCAGCGCTCTATTTTGAGGTTATGTCACAAACATCTATTTGCATCAAATTGTGCTTGCTTTTGAGTTTTATCATGTTTTATCAGCCTAAAATTTCCTACAATTTAAAAGGAAAACATATCTTAACAATAGGAGAGCGCTGACGCTGACACGGGACGAGTGTAATCTAGAAATTTTTGAAGGAGAGAAAAGAGTATAACAATCAAGCAGGCCATAAACGCGCCCTACAATTGTAGGGACGACTGACGATACGGACCTTAGTGCACATGTATACGGAATGCACATACGTGTTATTTGAAAAGATCAAATAAACTGAAAAAATCAGTGCTTGTGACTTTTATAAAATCGTTAAAACGACTGTAAGGTCGTTCGCCACAGAATCGTCTTTTTCCGGTGTTACTTTAACAAAAATAAAAATTGAAATAAAAATGACTCCATTTGTCAAAAACTGACAAGTGAGGCGTTGTTGAGTTGAATATATCATTCTGGATCGAAATCAGTAAACATATCTAGGGTGTTCCATTCAAAAATGGAAAGTTTGAGTCATTTCCGGTCAAACCGGAAGTACATTAAAGCAAGTGAATATGTCAAAAAATTTAGATTTGTCTATAATACGTAACCCCCAAATTTCGATTTTCTATCTAAATGTTTAATCCTAAAATAAAGATTGTTGGCTACCACTCTGAAGAAAAGCTTCAAGAACGTGAAATAGAAGAAGATATTATGCGACAAAACCACTTTATTACAAAAAAAAAATTAAAAATCAGTTATGTTAGATTCCTTTCTCAAAAAAAGATGAATATAGTTTACGCAGAGGTGTCAGGTAAACTATTCAGACAAATATTTGATAATAATGGAGGGAAAATTTTAATTGGTTTTCAAAATTTATCAGTATATCCTAATAATGAGGTAACTCAATGTACAAATTGCTTCAAGTTTAATCACTCTGGTAAGAAATGTAATAGTCATAAAGTATGCTTCAAATGTGGAGAAGAACATGATGATACTTCATGCAACAAATCTACTAATCCCATTTGTTGCAACTGTGTGTATTCAAACAAAAAATATAATAAAAACTATAATACACATCACTCCCCTACAGATAAATGTTGTGCTGTATTTAAATTTTTCCAACAAAGGCATATATCAAGAATTTTATTCTAAATTGTTAAGGACTTAGAATATTTATGAGTAGATACATTACAGAATTTGGACCTGAAATAGTTAAAACCAATATTTTAGACGATTTACCTAGAACAAAGTTACGTTTTTCTAATAATATTGATTCAGGATTGAACATCTTTCACACGAACATAAGGAGCATTCATAGAAATATGAATGAACTCCATGCCTTATTGGATATACTAGATTTTAAATTTGATGTTATAGTGTTAACTGAAACATTTAAAGTATATGATACAAGTTTGATCGAAATTCCCAATTATGATTTATATTATAACGATGGTAGTTTTAATAAAAATTACGGGGTTCTGATTTACGTAAGACAAAATTTGAACAGTGGGAATGAAATTATTAATATAACTCAAACAAAACTTTTACGAGTTATTCTTCAAAAGAATAATAAATGGATACAGATCATTGGTGTGTACAAATCACCCTGTATATCTGTAACAACATTTAACGGTCAATTACAAGATTATCTAGAAAGCAGTAGAAAATTTGACATCAACTTATTCATTGGAGACCTTAACATTAACATATTAGATCATAACAATCAAAATATTCAAGATTATTTAAATATAATGGCTGAACATGGTTACCTGTCAGCCATTAACGAAATGACAAGAGTAGAAGGAAACAGTGGGAGTTGTATAGATCATATGTTTATAAATTCACGTTTAGAACTTGACAAAGTATATTCAGCAATTCTAAAATACGATCTTGAAAGTACATCAACCAAAATTGAAAAGACAGTGAATAATACAAAAATTTACATTGATTATGAAAAACTAAATAACAACTTACTCAATGAAAATTGGATTGTAGTACCTATATAACGAACCTAATATTGAAAATGCATTTGTCCATTTTATATCTAGCATTGAAGGCCATATTGCTGAATGCACCAAAACAGTAAAGATTCCACGAACACAAATAAAAAGACAAGCATGGATATCAAAAGGGATTATTACCTCCATCAACAAAAAAATAGAATTATATAAGGAAACCAAAAAATATCCTTATGATGTTAAACTTTTGAATGAATTTAAATCATATCGAAACAGAATGACAAAAATAATTAAAGAGGCTAAAATTAAATATCTCCAAGACGAGTTTGATAATCTACAAAATTATTCGTCCAAAATGTGGCAATTTATCAATAAAATACAAGGCAAAAAACAAAACAACAAAATTAGTACAATTAAAAAAGAAAATGGTGAACTAGTGAGTAATGATGTAGATGTAGCAAATGAATTTTGTGAATATTTTTCAAAAATCGGGAAAAGGTTGTCAGAAAGCATAAAAAACGCGGAGAAATTAAATTATAGTAAGACCAGATTATATAACTCATTATATCTGGAACCGACCGATACGCATGAAATAAAGACAATAATCAATGAATTGAAATTAAGAAAATCTCCAGGCCTACGTAGTCGTGCCATAAGTTCTGTCCCATGATAATCTCATGATAAAAATGAAACAAGATAAGATATATTTATATGAAAGGTATTATTTATCCGACAACATTTTTAGAATTCATAATCAAACAGTTTTATTCAAAATGTCCCCCCTTGGCCTTCACACACTGCTTCAATCTCGCGGGCCACTCATCTATCACTGCACGCACAGCTTCCAAAGGAATAGCTGCCGCTGATCGGATCAAATCCGCTTTCAGGGACTCGATATTCCGGTGGGCTTTGGAGCAGGCCAACTGCTCTAGCAGGTCCCACAACTTGTAGTCTAAAGGATTGAGGTCCGGACTCCCTGAGGGCCAATCTTCCGCAGCAATGAACTCTGGCACATTGCTTTCCAGCCAGCGCTGCGTACTCTTAGCCTTGTGAGCGGGGGCGGAATCCTGCTGGTAGACCCAGTGTTGGTTGGCAAACAATGTACCACTTAAAGGCTTGACGATAGGATCCAGTATGTCGCTCTGATAGTTTGCCGCTTTTGTTTTCACGCCCTGTTTACAGAAATGGAGCTGAGTGACCCCTTCGTAGGACACCCCCCACCAAACCATGACTGACGCAGGGTGGTGGCCTCTCTCAACTCTCGGAATGATCTCCGAAGCTTCCTGTGAACTCCTTGCATACACTTTGTCATTTTGTCGGTTGAATTTTTCTTCTATGGTGAAGATTTTCTCATCCGTGAACAAAATCTTTCGGAATCCCCCAGCTGCGTACCTCTCCAAGAGCTTCTTGGATCTTGTCGCCCTGATGTGTCGCAAGGTGGCCGTAAGTCGCTGGCCCGTACGTCTCCGGTAAGCCCCTAGCCCTAGGTCTTGTTTAATGATGCGCGACATCGTCCGGACAGGAATCTTCATTTCCCTGGATAGGATCTTCTGCTTCCGGAGTGGATTCCTTTGAATCCTGGCTTTTACGGCTTTGATGGCTGCTGGAGTCCTTACTTGACGAGGTCTTCCGCTTCTTGGCCTGTCATCAACAGAGGACGTCTCATTGTACCGCTGAATGGTCCTAGACACAAATTTACGCGATATTTGAAGGCCGCGTAAGAGTTCAAAAATCTGACTAGCACTGTGATTACACTTATGTAAAGCTATCACTGCAATACGGTTCTCTGCCTTGCCCCACTCCATCGTTATGCTTCGAGAGATCAATACAAACTGAGGTATATGTAATTACCCGAAAAGCGCTTAATCAACTGACACCACAATGTAAACAATCGGACAAGTATTAACAGGTCTACACTTGTTTGAAAACGAGGGACAGAACTTATGGCATGACACGTAGATAATATAACAGCGTATACTCTCAAGAGAATAAATTGCAACATCTGCGGCATACTATCATATTTGATAAATTCTTGTATGAATAAAGGAATATTCCCTTCATGTTTAAAACACGCTATGGTAAAACCATTATTTAAATCTGGAGAAAGAGAAAAACCCATCAACTATCGACCAATTTCCATCTTAACGAATTTTTCTAAAATATTTGAAAAAGTGTTAAAAAAACGATTCACCGAATTTGCAAAAAAACATAACTTACTAGCGGAAGAGCAATATGGTTTTCAAGAAGGCAAATCTGCTCAAGATGCTATTGTAAAATTAACAAATAAAATATACACGAATCTCGATATTGGCAAACCAACTGCTTGTGTTTTTGTTGACTTGGCAAAGGCATTCGACTCTATTACTCATGAATCGCTTTTAACAACTTTAGAAAACTTAGGTTTCCGGGGAATAACATACAAACTTATAGAAAATTATTTGTCAAATCGAACACAGTGCATCAAAATTAATAACACATTCAGTGAACCCCATATTATATAACACGGTGTTGTACCTCAAGGCTCAGTATTAGGACCCATTTTATTTAATCTATTTATCAACGATTTGTTCAAAATAAATAGTACAGGTAAAGTTATCGGTTTTGCGGATGATACAGCTATTCTCTATGAAAGCAACCAGTGGCATACACTAAAAACCACAATCGAACATGATTTCAAAACATTTATAAATTTCTTTTCGGAAAGAACTTTAACAATTAATTACAACAAAACACACTATATAGCATTTTCTTGTAACGACAGGCTCTCACCACAATTTAAAAAACTTGAAATTCATACAAGCAGTGGTCTCAAAGAGATTCAGTCAGCCGATAAAATAAAATACTTAGGCGTGATATATCTATATAATCTATATTATGCTCTTGTTTATCCTCTATTACTTTACGGAATTTTGGCTTGGGGGGGGGGGAGTTATGAATAATAATTACAAAAAGGTTGAGGTAATCCAAAAATTAATTCTAAAATTGATCCTCCATAGGGAGATTACTTATTCAAGTGATTTTCTATATGTGGAGGCTCAGCTATTAGATTGCAGACAAAATATTTTTATTGTGGTCTAATACATTATTTGAAATATTCAAAATACTTGAATCGTACCATTCATAACTACTCAACAAGATTCAATCAAAATTCAATGTGTATTCCACAAACATCAAAAACCATTACACAACGATCTCTGTTTTTCTTGGGATCAAAATTCTATAACTTCATACCAGAGTCATTAAAAGTAATTAAATCAAATAAATCATTTAAAAAACAACTAAAAAAATGGATTTTACAACAACCAAGGTACTCCATCCACGAAATTGTAGATCTGAAAAATCATTATCAAAATCAATAATATTTTACTTACACTAACATCCATACTTTTACTTCAGTTCTAATTGTCTGGATATTTTTCCTGACATTACCATAATAATTCACCAAATTATACAGTATGAACGGTTTTTCTTTTTTTTTTTTTCATACACAGACTGTACTAGTAGTTTTTATTTTGTACAAACCCAAACACAAGTGCAAACTTTTTTTGGGTGCTTTATGTTTATTGTGCACAATATTTGATATTTACTTGTATTTTGTGACAATAAACATTATTATTATTATTATATTATTATCTATGCTCGTGCTTCGTTTATTCGTCACACGAGGGCGTCACATTTTTTTTTAGAGCACATTTTTTCACATATTTTTGGAACTGACAGACCGATTTGTATAAAATTTGGAACACGTGTTTCTAATAGTCCGTTTTTGCAACAGAATTCGGAAGAATTCGAGGTGATAGTTTTTGACAAAAGGAAGTTTTTTTCGGAGCTGGTTTTTAAAAAATCAAGTGTTAAAATCTAGATGTAGGGAACAGAGTGGCCATTGAGTAGGAGCTTCTTGATCTCTACCAATCCTTGTACCAGCAAATTTCTCGTTCAAGTAATTTCTTATAGCAGGCACAAAGAGAAATGGAGCACAATCTTACATAAGACATGCCTCTTCTTGCATTCAGAGGCAGTTCTTCTAAAAATTCAGGTAAATGTAGAAAATGAAGTTAGCTATCTCCGTTTAATTTATCAGGAAACCTATATGAGCCAACATTAAAAGATACCGATAATCCCCCATCAAACCCAAATTTAAAATTCCGACTGAAAATGTATTTATGAAGCTCCATGCGGGCGTAATATACAAATTTATCATACCACGTCAGGTAAAATATGACACATCTGTAAACAAAGATTTCTTGTGCAATGACCTAACAGCTGCTCTGCTTTCTAATATATACTAAGTGACATATAAATCCGAACACCCAGTTTAAATGGTTTTATTTTAATAAAAGTTGGTGAATGTATTTATCTTACTGTAAATAACAAGTGACAAAATTTTCAGCCTTATCAGTTGGACATTCCGGTTTTTATACTGTTTTTTTTTTAATTCACTAACGCTCTAAAAATGAATATTTCAGCCGCAGTAAAGAATCAACGTTGGCGGATTTTGGTTCTTGACATCCTTTACGATCGGTTACGATGCCTAGAGGAGACCTGTACAATTTCATCAACTTAGTGAGTTTGATAGGGGCCGTATAGTGGGACTTCGGGAAGCTGGACTTTCTTTTCGGGCAATTGCAGTTAGAGTGCAAAGAAGTGTAGACACTGTGGTTAGGTGTTGTCAGGCATGGCATCGAGAAGGCCGTACGCGAAGAGCAAGGGGCACTGGACGCGGCCGTAGAACAACAGACCGTGAAGATCGCCGCCTAAGATTATTGGCCTTAAGGGACTGTTTCTCCACTACCAGGTCCATTGCAAATGAATGGTTTGCAGAACACGGAAGACCTATTGGCATGCGAAGTGTTTACCGACGAATGAGAAGTTTTGGCTTGTTTTCATACCGGCCACACTGGGTCCTCCCTTTAACTCGAGAACACCGACGTAATCGCCTTGAGTGGTGCAGACAACGGTCACTCTGGGATCAGGAATGGAACAGTATTGTCTTTAGTGACGAGTCTAGATTTTGTTTAGGCATGCACGATGGTCGTGCCCGGGTTAGAAGGCGACGTGGTGAAAGGAGCAATCCACAGTTTTTTGTTGAAAGACATGTTCATCACACTGTTGGAGTTATGGTTTGGGGAGCTATAGCTTATGGTTCTAGGTCACCTTTAATCTTCATCAGAGGTAACATGAACGCGCAGCGTTATATCCACGAAGTTCTAGAACCCCATCTTTTACCCTATCTTGACACCCTGGCAGATCCAACTTTCCAACAAGATAATGCCCGACCACATGTTGCAAGAGTCACAATAGACTTCTTTCAACATAATGATGTCACATTGTTACCATGGCCACAAAGATCTCCCGACTTATCCCCAATTGAGCACGTGTGGGATATGATGGGTAGGAGGTTGCTCAATTTGCAACGTCCTCCTCAGACTCTAGAAGCACTTCGAGAGGAGTTGGTGGTTGCCTGGAATGAGATACCACAGGAGGACATTGACCACCCGATCAGAAGCATGCCTAGGCGCGTTGGAGAATGCGTAGCACATCAGGGTGCATCCACACATTATTACAGGTCAAAGGGCTTTAAAGCAGTGCAATCATTTTGAAATTTTTATCATTTACTTATTATGCTTCATTAAGTACTTGTACAAAATTTTATTAAAATAAAACCATTTAAACTGGGTGTTCGGATTTATATGTCACTTAGTATATTTTGTACAAATCCTAAACGTAAGTGTTTGTCCGTAAGCAATAATTCCTGGATAGGCTGAACAGGAAAAGAACGAATCAGGTGTTCATTTAAAATTAGGTTAACTGTGTTTTTTTGAACTCCTTGTTCATGTTCTAATCTGCGAGTGCTGATACGTGGATCTTCTACAAACATTCCAACAGATTCTTCCAATCGCGATGTTCGGGTTCGCCGCGTTGGCTCTTAGAGGATCGAATCGACCGATTTCTTGAAGTCTGCTCGGCGTTCTATGCTTGCAACTTTATGAAGCTTGTTGTCAAAAATAATCTGACACTGACATAACATCCCACATTTCCGCTTACTAGATGCCTACTAGATTTTAACACTTTTCAGAAACCAGCTCCGAAAAACTTTTTTTCTCAAAAAGAATGCGAGATGCGATTTTTATATGAGTTATAAAATTAAGTAGGTATAAGGATTTCCGCTATAATTTATGTGGGGGTGGGGCTAGTCTTCATCCTTCTCGGACACTTACGTTTTTCGTTTTGTAAAAGTTAAATATTAGGACGTCCAGCAAAGCACAAGTGCTCCAAATTTCTAATTTATCGGTTCGTAAAATATCTGAAAAAACGTCATTTGAAAATGAAACGATGACGATCTCTAACTGTCAATCGACTTGTTTTGGGCCTAAAAATACATGGTACTTCAATGTCCACGGAAGATTGGGACACCCTGTATGTACTTTTGTATTAATTCATTCTGTTTTTAGGACTGCCAACGGGAACATCAGAATTAGATTAGGAGAATGGGACGTTCGAGATCAAGATGAAAAGTTACCTTATGAAGAATACACCATAGAAAGGAAGGAAGTACATCCCTCTTACTCACCGACCGACTTCAAGAATGACGTAGCGCTTGTGAAACTAGATAGGAATGTTAAGTTTAAGCAGCACATCATACCCGTTTGCCTGCCATCTCCCACGGTAAGTACAACAAAGTGCCTAAAGGTTCCATAGCAGTGGAAAACACAGATTTTAATTAATTATACAAGGAGATATAGAATGTTGTCAGAAACATTGAAGGGCAGATTTAGTACGTAAAAAAAATGAAAAGGGCTCATGTAAACATGGGTTCGTGAATTCGTCTGTACCCATGTACGTATTTTGTTCAGAGTCATGTTGATTCAATCTGAACAGCTTTTTTTGTAGTTTTTCGTTATCTTATTGGGACTGAGCTGCTTTTTACAATCCACAATGACCTTTACCAATTTCAGCAACTTTTTGGAACTTTTATGTTTTCGCATAAAACTACGAATTACATGTTAAATGTCAAAATGGTGGCTTAGGTCTGATGGAGTATAAACTTGCATCTTGACTACTGACTAAGTCAGGATCTACGTAAATTTGATTAGAAGTTATTCGTAAGATACGTTTAATTATACGTTTTTCTTTCAATCAAGGATTTACAGAATAAATTACTCTATCTATATTTAGAATACTTATTAGTAAGTACATGCTAAGTGATTTCAGTCACAACCACAAAACGAGACAAAGTCGGCTTGAACCCGAGGGTGCGTAGATTTGTCTTTGGTGAGAACAGTGCCTTATAAATCAGTAATATAATTTTCGTTCGTTCGCTCACAGATGGCCAATCGTGAACAGCTGTTTCATTCTATTTGCCAGCTCTTCAGCAAAGCTGAGCAAATGAGCAACAGTTGTGCCAAATAGCACGGAACAGCTTTCAATAAATTGTATTTATTGCCAAGATACGCTCACAAAAAAATAAATAGAACTTGACAAAAAATTCTAGCTGCTTTCCTGGCAAACGGCAAACCGTATAGAAAGATCCGCTGTTCCACTCAACAAAAAAAAATACAATAATTCTTCATCTGGGCCTTACCGTAATACCTTTCAAGCAAAAACTTGATCCAGAAAGAGTTAAATAAATACTGTATACACAGAAAAACGGTTTTAAATTTTATACAGTCATCAACCGATATAAAACGCTTCATTGCAAACTTATGTATGAAGTCGGTACCTTATTATACAGCCTTGCGATAATGTAGGGAAAAGAATCTTTGAAAGGCGATGTACAGAATCTAGGAGTAGAAATTAGACGTCTGTAACGCAGGCTGAGAGTGTGGACGTCTGTTCCGTAACGCATTTTGATATATGTACTGATAAGCAGGAGGTTGGTGAGAATCAGTAATCTTAGATACAGACTGAATGCAGGATCCCTCGATATTTGATTGATAACAGTTGAAGTTTGATTAATGGCGTGTAGACCGTATCTACTATAGCGCCAGAATAGGCGGCGTCTTACGGCCACAGTGGTGACCTAGCTTGCAAAGCGAACTAGCACACATTCCTGACAGCTTGCTGTTTTCACTTTCGTAGTGGTCGAATCTGGTAAAAGATGGCACTTGGCCCTGTCTTATTTCAGTGTCTTATAGTTTAGAGCTTGTAGCATTTGAGATCATACTCAAACTTGCGGTTTGAGCAGGAGATGAACGAATCATGGATTACAAGATTACAAATATCAAACTTTATAGTATGACTTGACAATATCCCATTTCAGATGAAACTATCTGGAAAGAAAGCTACAGTAGCAGGTTGGGGCAGGACAAGGCATGGGCAAGCGACAGTGCCTTCTACTCTTCAAGAGGTGGACGTGGAAGTAATTCCGAACGAAAGGTGCCAAAGGTGGTTCAGAGCTGCCGGGAGAAGGGAGATCATTCATGACGTGTTCTTATGCGCTGGGTACAAAGAGGTTAGTGTTTCCATTGTTGATAACCCTTGTCTACTCATACTGTGACAAAATCTTTAACATATTGCCAAACTGGTCAAATCCTCGTAAATAAAATATAGTGTGATTATATTGGCGGTTTCGAACGTATTAGAAATAAAGTTGCTGAAGTAATGAATTGGAGGTGCGATATTAGGATGCACCTTTAGGAAGCGTTTTTATTAAAATTCAGTATATGAATGGGTGAAAATTACTTAGTCTACCTGAAAATATTTCTTTCTCGATATTACTACTATGAAAGTCATACCCTTATCTAGTAAAATATGAACCTCTTTCCAGAAAAACAGGCCCGATTTTACTAACAGGAGATCAAAATTCTTGACCCGGATCAAAATTGACCAATGAAAAGGGATCTTCCTATGTTTCTGTCTCTCAAACTATCGAAAAAATATGCAATTAAATTAAGAAATCCTTTATAAATTATCTAGTGCAGCTACAAAAACATTCAGTATCAGTTGATCTGGCGGTCAAAACCTATGAGCCGGAACAACATTGACCAATTAGAAACCGTTTTAGTAAAACATTTGTGTTAATACACACTATTCATGTTTACTATTATTAACATGGCAGCACAAATGTATTAACTGTCAAGAGTAGAAACGAATACTAGAGCTGTTAGTTAGGGTAATTTAACGCCATGAGGGATATGTTAATCAATAAGCACAGTACTCACACCGGAAACCGGAACTTGCTATCTTAATTTGTTATTTATTGTTGCATGTTGATCAAGATCGCTAGTGTATCTTGGCGGAAAATACTTGGCGCCTTGTTTAGAAAATTGGGTTACAAGTAGGGTTATGTCAAGTGTTGTTGAGTTCGTTGCGAGCTTATATTGAATGCCATGTGTTTGTGGCTAATATAAATCAGATTCGAAAAACAATTACAGAGACACTTCGTAAGCATTGTCATTACAAAGTAACATTATGGGTGTCGTCGCATCATGGGCTGTCACATTGGGATGGTGATGGGCATTTCGGAGATATGCATTGCACAGTTGCTCGATAATCACATATCGATACTACCTGTATTCCTCCCAAATGTGCTGGTTTGTCGTGTCATGTAACGATGATAAATATTTTTATCGAATCAACATTTTGAAGAAATACTGATTACCCGATTATTTGGAAAACAGCGTATCGCAAGAGAAATTCAAATAATAATGACTAGTTTCAACTGATCGTTAGTGTTTATGACGAGTTCATTTTAACTAGTATGGAATACTTATGTTGTTTAAAGTAAAACGGATCTGCTAGCGAAGCATCCTTTTATTATCGCAAATTAAACTTTAACGTCATTGACCTACATTGATTATCATAAAGATAATAATAATAATAATAATAATCGTCTTTATTGACCAAAACATGGTACATTACATGGGGCGAGATTTAGCACCTGCTATTCCACCATCTAACCCCGTACAAAAGTGAAAAAAAAACAAGTTATACAAAAACAAACAAAAAAAAATGTGAAACTAGAAACATTAAGTCACAGTATAATATGACTATTTATGCCAATTTAGCTATAAAAAGAAGAAGAGATAATAGGTTATGAAGAAACGGAAAAATAATTAATGAAAAATACAAAAAGTATGAAAATGAAAGAACTTCTTAAGCTAGCGGTTGTTTTGCAATTCTTGTAAATATCTTTTTAACTGAGTTTTAAAACTCCGGGAGGACTGGATAGTCTTCAGATCCTGGCTTAAGCTATTGTAATATAAAATTACATTGTATGTGAAAGTTCGTCTAAAAAGTGATGTGCGGTGTATTGGCATAGTTAAGGTGTCACGGTTACGAACCTGAAGATTATGCACAGACGCCCTTGGAACAAGTTTACAGCTGAGGTAGTGAGGGGATGATGTTAGTATGATCCTGTGAGTAAAGCTGATAATGGAGTATTTGAAAAGGTTTTGAACGCTTAGCCATGCAAGATTACGATACAAGTGTGATACATGATCGAACTTTCTTAGGCCCTCGATAAACCGTACACAGGTATTCTGGATTATCTGCAAACGTTTTGCGTTAATAAACGTCAAACATGGGTAATATATGGATAAGCCATATGACATTTTAGAAATAACTAAACTTTGACACAATTTAATTTTGATGTTTCTATGCAGAATATGTTTGTTTGCAAATAGAAGCCTGAGGGATAGATAACATTTTTTCAAGACATTATTCAGATGGGAGTTAAAACGTAAGTCCGAGTCAAAGTGAATGCCCAAATTTTTTACTATTTCAGAAAAAATAATTTCCTCCCCATTAACTTTGATGTGAATTAATGGTTTAAGGTTTTCACATAATCTTTTATTGCCAAATAATATGGCAGAACATTTTGAGGGATTTAGTCTCAAGTTGTGAGAGCTGCAGTACCTATTAACACTATCCAGATCCGCATTTACTAGCATCATGGACTCCTGGACATTGTCGGCATTAAAATCACACTTCATCTGCGTATAATCAGCAAAAAATTGAGCATGTGTATTCTTGAAGTTATCATGTAAGTCTGCAGTGTAAAGTAAAAACATCAATGGTCCCAGTACTGAACCTTGTGGAACACCTGACTGAATGTACCTTGATGTCGAAATTTGATTATTGATATTTACTTTTTGCCTACGTTCCCTTAAATATGACCTAATAAAGTTGCAGGCAACTTCATCGAAGCCATAGTAGTGGCACTTGGCAACAAGCAGTCGATGGTTAAGCGTATCGAAGGCCTTGGAAAAGTCTAACAGTACCAGCAAGCTCGTGTTTTTACTGTCGATGGAAGATATGATGCTATCAATGAGATAAGACAAGGCTGTAGTTGTACTGCGGTTTTTCTGAAAGCCTGATTGATGGGTGGGGATTATATTATGTGCATTGAGATGATCTAGAATCTGTGTATAAGTTACTCGTTCTAAAATTTTAGACATTATTGGCAATATGCTTATTGGTCTGAGGTCAGCGTTGGATATCGGATTAGACAATTTTGGCAGAGGAGTCACCAGAGCTGTCTTCCAAAGGTCGGGAAAGTATCCAGTTTCCAAGCAAATATTAATAACATGTAGCAGATGAATGTCAATTACTGGAAAGCATAACTTTAACATTTGTAACGTGATACCATCCGTTCCAGAAGCATTGGATTTTATACTGCAGATAACAGTTTTAATCACATCTAAATCAACTAGCTTAAAAGAAAATTAATTTCTTTGCAAAAAGTTATTTGTTCTGTAATAAAGTATTTTTTCAAAGCACGCTTCATCACTGTTTTGAAAAACTGAGGTAAAGTATTCATTGACTTTGTAAAGGTCTGTGAGTGTTGATGGGATTTCAGAAGATTTAATTGCTTGAACGCGCATATTTCTTAAAGATTTGTATAATAAAGAGGAATTTCTCTGATTTTGTAAATGATCCAAAAAGGCAGACTTTTCATTCCGTAACGACTGTAATGCATAATTTCTCAAAGATTTGTAATTATTCCAATTTTGAACAGACGGATTGCTTTTAAATTTAGACAGCGCTTTATCTCTTTCCTTGAAAATTAACTTCAAATTGGCGGTCAACCATGGTGCTTTCGGTCTAGTGACACGCACTGTCCGAATTGGGCCATGTAAATCAAAAATGGCATTGATGTTGTCAGTCAAAAATTTCAATTTGGTTTCAACGTCACTAAAGTATAAGACCTGCTCCCAGTTCATTTGATGTAAGTCTCGGTTGAAGTTATCTAAGTCGAAGTGTTTATAGTCTCTGAAAGTCACATACTTATGTACTTTATTTAAACTACAAAGTAGGTCACAGAAAACCATTTGATGGTCACTAATGATATCAGCGTTGATGGTACCCTTGTCACCGCAAACCTCAACATCAGACATAAATATGGGATCCAAGAGAGTGCTACTTGTCTCAGTAATACGAGTGGGATCTTCGATAATTTGTGTAAAGCCATATGATTGAAAACATTCACTGATTTTATTTTTGATCAATAAGTTAACGTTTAGATCACCTAACATGAATAAATTGTCGTATGCAGTTACTAGGCCAGGTAGCAAATTATCGAGACATTCGATAGCATTCAAAACATTTGCACTCGGAGGTCTATACATTACACCCAGGCAGTAACTACAGTGACCAATTTTAAATTTAATGAACATATGCTCCAAGCAAACATCTGTGTAAGAAGTAAGTACCTCGAACTTGATGTTGCTTCTAATATAAATACCGACACCACCACCACGGGATGGCCTATCATATCTACAAAAGCTGAAGCCAGGGATATTAACAGTTTCAGAGCTAGTACATTCGGACAACCAAGTTTCCGATACAGCAACTATATCTAATTTTTTTTCAAAAACTAACTCTCCAAAATCGGCAAAATTGGAAAGTAACGACCTTACATTTATGTGAGCTATTCTAATATATTTTTTATGTTCCATAATTGACTTTAGATTTAAGATTATTTATGTAATGTTGTAACACCAAGCAGGAACCTTCGTCATTCGACGAATGGCAAACATCATATTTAGTTTTATATTTTTCGTTACTTTTAACACAATTAATGCACTTAAGGACTTCGGACGAGCATTCTTTATATCGATGTTCACAGTTGCATGAAGAACACACAATGGACGACTTACAGTCTTTTTCAAGATGACCTATTGCACTGCACTTGAAACATCGCACCACTCTAATATGGTCAGCAACGAAGCATTTGCTGAATCCGACATATACATATTGACGTGACATAAAGAGACTTCTCACCTCAGGTGACACCTCAAGTACCAAATGTGTAGCGTTAGGGTAGTTTAATTTCGTTACAAATTTAATTTCACGATTTTGTAGATCTTGAAGGTCATTAATAGATGAAATATTGTCAATAATGTCAGCGACACTGGAGTTTTCAGGAATCTGAATATTTTTAACCATAATTCGGGGATTATACAGCTTAGTATTACTAACTTCATATTTCCTTCCTAATTTGTTAGAAACATGTTCCTTTAGTTTTCCCAACGATTTGTCATCATCGCAGCAAATAACTACACCATTGCGAATTTTCTTGATACCACTTAAACACCGTTGAAGATCCTTGGGCTTAATATTATTTTTAATATCATTCAACACGTCAGTATTAGATATCGAGTTATTGTTCGATTTAACAATAATCCCAGCTGATGATAGTATGTGTTTATTTTGACTTTTTTTGGTTGTGCTACAAGAAACAGTACCTGTGTTTGCCTGGTTAAAAAATGGTCCCCCTGTTTTTGCAGCGTAGGATGATGATTCACTGCTTGTAAATGATAATTTTTCCTTGAGGAGCTCATTGTTGCATTTTAATTCACTGTTAAGGTTCACTAGTAACTCTTTCTCACGATTGAGGCATTCTACTTCATGACGAAGCACTATAACGTCAGTCGCTGGAGTATTAGGTGTCGACTTGCACTTTATGGTACAACCTTTGCACCTCCAATTTTTCCTTTCGGTGAAGAATAACTTAGCGATATTCTCAAAACATTTTGTATGAAGAGATATACTGCAATTTTCTGCATCGCACGTAATACCACCCGATTTACGTATTTCATCGCCACAAATTTCACAGATTTTGTCGCCCCGGCTCAAAGCGACATCTGCACCGGCCGGCATCTCCGAGCGGTATCGCGTATTACTGTTACATTGTATTGCTTTTCCTTCTTTTTTCTTCTCTTCCTCTCCTTCTGAATGATTTTGACTTTTATTTTTCTTTCTTACACCTTGACTCATATCAAATGCGCTACTGATCGTTATAATTTATCAGAATTGTGATTGTACCACAAAATAGCAAAAACCTGAAATGCGTAATCGAATATCGTTATTAACTGAATTCGAATACCATCATTTTAATATTAAAATGTGCAGACCTTATGTTATTACAGCCCTCTGTTTTTGTTGTACAGGGTGCGGCAGAGAAGATGGACGGTTTTAAGAAAATCGTAAAATAGTTAATTTTTACTTGAAAACAAACGTATTGATGGAATCAGGTTTACAAGGAAATAGCATTTGAGACAGTCAAGTGTGGAAAATCACATCAGGCATGTGGTGGCCGAAATCGTTGATGCAGTGCTGGAGGCGTGCTTGGAAGTTCGCGTAGACTCTCTCCAACATCGCTCTCTCAACTTGGGCGACTTCCACGCGAATTTCGCCCTTCAATTCGTCTAGAGTTCGGGGCTCGTTCGCATATACTCTAGCCTTGAGGTGTCCCCATAAGAAAAAATCGCATATGGATAAATCTGGGGACCGAGGAGGCCTGCGAAGTGATTCAACCCAACGAAGGATGGTGTTTCGAGAGGGAACAGCTCTATTCCGATGAATGTTGAAGTGGCGACGAAACTCACGTTGTACGACGATGACTGACTCATTATTTCGGACGAAACAATCATAGGCGAAAACGCGGTGCTCCACCGTCCAAGGCTCTATAATGACAACTGGTAAAATAATGCTAGGATCTCACGAGTCAAACGGCACCCTCCCCACCTCTCTCGTAGACGGAGGCGGAGAGTACTACCCATCCCAAAAACGTCCGTCTTCTCTGCCGCACCCTGTATAAGATAAAAAATTATCAGGCTTCTACCATTTTTTTTTAATTTCATAAAGCAAATGCAACAATATTCATCGAAACCAGAAAAGTATGTTTAAAATAATAGAAACATCTCTATTCTATATACCTTGAACGATAACATGCGGATTAGGTGCAGCAAGTAGAAATATGTTGTTAATGGAAGACCAAGGGATTTGTTGAAATCTACACCTAATTACCAACCGGTATAACTTTTCTCAGTTTTATGTGATATATGTTTGTTTTGAATTTGGTTCTATCACCTACAGGGTGGGCTTATGATACTTATTTAAAATTTACCGATTTTCGGATCATAAGCTTTGATCTCGGAAAGTGGAAAATATGTTTTTGTAGCTAGACCAGGTCACTCATAAATAACTACTTGATATAATATGCGGATTAGAGACCCTTCTTTCACAAATCGTATATTTTTTAGATACTTTGACACACTCATATTTTAGAAGAAATTGACTGTATTCGTTTGGTCCATTACTGCAAAGATGCCGCCTGATTAGTCTATTATGATCCGGGTCAAGCAACAAAATATTTCCGCATAAGTCCGATTGTCGATTTTTGAGTTCAACGCTCAATCCCACTGTTTTGGATGACGCTGAAGTGTTACCAATTTTTATCACTCAAATAATACCAGATTATGGACATTTTATTCTCCCCAACAGTCGACAGTCGGTCGGCTACCAGCGACAAATCAGGGGCTTGATACTGAATGAGTTTTGACCGTTGAAACCGATTCCGATGACGCCTTGTGACGACATACTTGATTACCAATGACGATTTTGCCATTTGATTATAATGATCTTCTATTTTGAAATTATTATAGCAAGTCAAGTCTACAGACACAAGACGCCATCGAAATCAGTTTCAACGGTCGAAACTCATTTAGAAACAGGCCCCAGGTACTGTTTGGTTGCCGTTGATTTCGGGTAGGAAGATCTGTCGCTTATTATTGTGAGCCCATTATCCGTCGCATTTTTGTTATTTAAATTTCCGGTTATTACTGGGATCCCAAGATCTTAATGATAGAACGCCTTCCACTGCTATGAAAGATGCAATATTCACAGCCCCCGAAAAGGCATAACGCTCAATTTTCATCCCCTGCAATCATTTTTTGATGCCGATCAAGAAACTCCAAAACGCAGAAAAACGGAGTCTAAGCGAGTTTTATTTTTTTCATCTTTTTTAGCAGTAATAAAAATTCATAAAAGACTGGCAAGTACCTTTAAGTTATAGCGGGTTCAAGGACTAGCGGACAGATAGACAGACCGACAGAAATATGAGTGACATGGGGGACAGCCGTCGTGCTGGAACCGCATATTTTGTCTCGTCGCCAATGGGACGTCTTCCATTAATGGAAACGACTGATTTTTCAAGAACTCTGCATACACTTCTCCATTTAAATTGGCGGGCAGAAAATGAGGTCCAATTAAATATCCATCAATGATGCCCATCCACACATTGACTGAAAACCGGCTCTGAGACCCCGTCGGTCTTATTTTTCGGGGGTTTAAAGCTTCTTTATCAGCCCAGTAATAAGCATTATGGTAGTTAGTGATCCCGTCCTTATGGAACGTCGATACATCGGTCCACAGAATTTTCTTAAAATAGTCTTGATCTTCTGCATCTGCATGTAACGTGTACCTGCAGAAATCTAATCGTCTTGCAGGATCGCCCTCTTCAATCACATGACAGGCGTTTAGTGATACGGGTATAATCTTGCAGTATGCACAGTAAACCATACTTTGTATTGTGATATACCCAACTGAGCAGCCACAATGCGCATAGACGTAGTAGGGTCTTCCTGAAACACACGAAGGATTTCCTCTTCATCTTCAGGAGGATAGACTCGGGGTCGACCAGCATCACTATGTTGCCTTTGAACACGTCCGGCTTGGCGGATGCGCTGATACACAGAGTTAAACACAGTAACATGACGTGTTCGGCGATTCGGGAAACGTTGCCGATATTCACGGCGGGCAGCTGCAGAATCGCCGTTACAAAGTCCATAACAGAACATTATGTCTGCGTATTCTTCATTTGTAAAAGTTTGCCCATGCTCGCTATGGCGAGGTCCTGGTGGATCTTCTGCGTCTGCCATGATGATAAAGAAACCACCCGAAATGAACTGGGAAACTGGAAAATAATAATCGTACGTAAAACGTGTGCGCGTACGCAGTAGTTGATACCAACTAATAGAGATTCACGACTTGACTTGATTTTCAAGCTACTTGACTTGACTTGACTTGATATCAAGTCAAGATCAAGTCAAGTATTTGTTTTTGAAATGCAAGTCAAGTCAAGTAGTTACACATTAAGTAACTTGAAAATCAAGTTTTCAAGCTAACTACTTGATTTTTCTTGAAAAAATGTACTTTTTTGATATTAATCTGTTCAACTGCCAAAACGGAATAACAATAAAAATCTATGTATATATAGATTTAATCTTTTATTTAAAAAACATCTAAAAACGAAAACTCTAACAAACTTAGTTTAATAATACATGAAATAATATGAAATAAAAATGCGAAATATTCTGAATTCTGACAATAAAACAATAGAAAATCAACAAACATGAAAATGAATATCTAAAATAAATCTTTAATATCCTCATTTGCCATCCATGATTTGAGACACAAAAGGCTTCTAACGGAGTTATCGCCTAATCGATTTCTTGTTTTGAGAGTTAAGGCAGCTCTAGAAAACTGCCTTTCAACAGGAGCTGAAGAAGCTGGCGTTGCCAAAAAGTCTTTGGCCATTGCGGCAAGGTTTGGAAAAATGCATGCGTGTCTCTTCCACCATTCTAAAATATCTTCAGTACTGTCAGCTCTTGGGTCAGAAATATATTTGTCGATTTCGTAACGCCAGGCCATATCGTCGTCTGCATTATGGGCAGGTTTTCTATTAAACAAACTTAGTAGATCTATTTCAAACTTTTCGACACTACTATCTTTACTAGGGTTTGAAGATGCTGCTACTTGAAGTGATGGTTCAGAAATTTGCAGAGAGTCAGCCCTAAAATATTGTGCTTTAAAAATATCTTCAAAATGTTTAATTGCTTCTATCTGCAACTCTTTTCCCCAACTTGTATTGGAGAATGTATCCACTTTATGTCGGGGGTCTAAAATCAGGACAACACAGTACATCCAGTTAGTCCGTTCGTAATGTCTAATGATTTTGTCCCTTGCCGCTTGAATACTATTTATAATCTTTTCATCGATTTCGTCTCGATCAGATTTATTGTCAAGTACCATAGCCCACGATTCTAGTCTATCCAGCAACATATTAATGCCGATTATATACCATGGGTAAAGTAGCATATGATTCACCTTCTAAAATTATGGAAATACTCTTAAAAACATTAAGGTACTGGCAAATTCGTTAAATTAACGACCATTCTGTGTCGGTTGGCTTTAAAGTTTTTAAATTTTCTACGTTATCACAAAGGATGTTAAGTGCGTTTCTCATATTTAGACTCCATCTCAACATGTCTAACGTGGAGTTCCACATTGTTATGACATCAAGTTTTGGCATAGTAAATTTCAGGTTTAAAGTGGTGCAAAATTTTTCAAAATCTTCACGTAAATGTTCAGAGTTTTTTAATTTTTTAGCAAGGGAATGGATTTTTCTTACAGAAGAGGGCGGAACTTGGCAGTCATCATCATCATCATCTGATATATCTGTCAAAATGTTGGCGGTTTCTTCAACCTCAGAATCAAGGATTTTCATAAAATCTCTAGCTGCCAAGTTTAAGATGTGTGCAAAACATACAAAGTGGATATTTTTTGTATCGATTTCAGAAATATGCGTTTGAAGTTCTCTGATGAACGTAAAATTACTATTTGTATTGTCGGTAGTAATACCTTGTATGCATTTTGTAACATCGTAGAATTGTAATACTTCGAAAAATAGCTTTGCAATTGCATTACCAGTATGTTGCCCATGTGCTGGCACAAAATCTAGAAGGATACAATGAAGTTTCCAATTTTTATCGATAAAATGGGCGGTAATACCATAGTACCCCTTCATATTAAAAGAAGACCATCCATCGATTGTGAACGAGCTTTTTGAATTAAATGTTTTCAAAAATGACTTAATTGTTTGCTGCGCTGCTGCAAATGTTTTTAATGTCAAAGATTTCATTTGATTCCGACCAGGTAGAGTTGCCTTTGGATTTAGGAATTTGTACGTTTTTCCACTTATAGCATCTTCAAAAAAGTTGAAAGGGAGATACTTCTGTGCTATATATTCCACAAGTAGTTTTTGAAATTTGTCTTGTTGAAAGTTTTCTGAACAACTAGTGGTCTGCAAAATAAACAAAACTGGAGTTAGTAAAATGCAGCGCAAGGTGCATGAATGTTTACGTCATAATATCCCACTTTTAAATGAAAAAGTAAGTAATTTTTTTGAAATGCCCTGTATAAAAATTTATAGCATGTCCCACAATTTTGAATAGAATGTCTTAAAGTCAATATAGATTTTTGTAAATATGCTCTGATGAGTTTTATTGATGCAGGGTGCCCAAAAACTGCTGCACCGACTTCAAAATCAGAATTTTAAATGAGACATCATTACACAATTATAACAACAAACAAAAATTATGTTATATAATAAAAAAGCGGTTCTAAATTAGAAGTCGACAGTACTTCTTATATTTAAAAAACTTTTAGAATTGTTATCCGAAAGTTGTAATTTTTTCCGTTCGATATTTATTAATAATATATATTAATAATTTATTAAACCTTTTTAATATAGAATGACTTTTAAAATCAAGGAACCTATAATGATTATAATAAACATAGAAAACTATAAGTGTGGCTTAAAATGAGCTGATCCGGATTTTGGAAAAAATAACTTTTTAAGGGGTTTTCGTGATCAAGCAATCCAAATTAGGCATTTGTTTTTTTCTAGCATGATTTCTTTATGTGTTTTTTTAAAGATTTTCCAAAAATGGATGAAGTTGGAAAAAACAAATGAAGGATTCTGGTGCAGCACTTTTCGGACACCCTGTATAAATAAAATTCTAATAGGTAATTTAATTTTTTTTGATTGCCAAGAATCTTTTATATAATTATTTTTTTCTACACCCTGTAGTTTCTGAGGAAGAGGTATGCTTACGCCCCTAATAAAATGCCCACCCTGTACAATTATTTACTATTTAGTTTCAGCTCAAATCTAATCATTATTAATTTTTTACCTTCCCAAGCCAATTTGTAATTGTGCTACCTACGCCTATTCGAACTGGCAGAGGCTTCTGCTTCGAATTTAGGTGGGCTGGATCTACCAAAAATGTTTTCGTAGACTCTAGTGTGTTTAGCTTGCAAATGCCTCCTTAGTGAAGATGTTCCACAGTTTTTCATATTTAAAACTGTATTTTTTACGACACATAGGGTACATTTGCCTTGTTTGTCAGTAGTTTTCTTACTCTTAGGATCCTGCTCGATTATGAAACAATCCTTAATTTTATTCGTTTTATTAGCTTTAACTCGTTTTCCCTTTGGTGGCACCGACCCTGCACTTTCTTCTTCTGGTTCGGTGTCATCAGATTCTGACACTTTTTCATTTACGATATATTCTGAGCCGCTGCTTTGAAAAGGTTCCGACTCCATTTCTGACAAATCACTTCTTAAATCAGACATAATAATTCTTTTGCGGTCGCCCTTTATCCTTGAACAACGCTGCTCTACTAATCGCACGAGCACGTTCGTCGTCATCGAGTGCCTGCTTGCTGTGTGAATCCGCTATTTAACCTCGGTGAATCCCCTATTTTAACGCTTCGATGCGCATTTCACAGATCTACTATCAAGTAATATCAAGTAGTTTGATTTTACTTGATATCAAGTCAAGTAGTTCAGTCCGAAAATCAAGTCAAGTCAAATATCAAATTTTTAAAAGCTTGAGTTTTCAAGTCAAGTCAAGTCTTTAAGAAAAAATTGATGAATCTCTACCAACTAAACCTAATTCTCACTCGGCGTGCGGCGATGACGTAACTACAATGATGAATAATAACAGCTCTCTCACTCTCTCACTCCTCCACTGAGTCACTTCTTCTCGCTCTCTTCCTCGTCGAGCCGATGCCATAAAAAAATCATGGCATGCGAGTCCTTTGAGAACAGTAACGACTTGTCCAAACAAGTAATACAAATTCCTTAAAAATCCAGCCTCTGTGGGTGTCATTGTTGTTTCTCTACATGTACTTCAGATAATTGAACGCTTAATACCTCAAATAAAAGCTTGTTAGATAGAGATATTATTTACATAATTTGCACAATACATTACTAGGAGATTTTTTACAGAAAATTGCATTTTTTATCGAATAAGTTAGTAAAAAAGAAAAGAAAATGATACATTTAAAAAGCGTAATTTTAAAACGTTTGTAGCTTTTCAACATTTTATTACTTATTATGAACTACTGGAATGTCTGCTATGCGACGATAACAAAAAACTTAAAATCAAGCATGCAGTTTTTTGTATTCCAATTTTAACCATCGGAAATCGGAATAAAAAATAAAAAACTTAAAATTCAAATAACTCAAAAATGGTTAACTTTTAGATAAGACATGATAGGACAAAATCGGTTGCTTTTGACCTAATCTATCACCCCTTAACAGGAATACGTGACATTACAAGTATTGCACCTTAATTGTTTAACAAATATTTAGAGATTTTCCAAATTACTTTCAGTCATAGTTTTAATAAGGAAGTTTATTTACATTGGTACCTCAATTATGTAACATTACTATACTCTGTGTAATAAAATTAGAGATAATAAGAAGCTCATGAGTATATAAAATGGTTTTCATTTGCTGTTTCTCTTTGTTACTGCTGTAGGCGACGGTGAACAATGGCATTACCAATCGACAGTCTATTGGAGTGTTATATTCAACTTTATTTTGCATAAATGCTCCAATAGACATTATTATGATTATTTTTATCATTATTATTAAATATGCAGGCTGTGAAAAGGGGAACTTCTCCGCCTCAAGCCCTCAAACTAAGGGTAGGTCTGAATTATTCAGAAACTGTAATGGTCGTTGGCGATGGACATCCTACATACCTGACAGCTTGATCACAGCTGAGCTTTAGGTTTGATTTCAGCATCGAAACGATAAAACCGAATCCCTGACCATTTTTTAAATGTCAAACTTTCCATTGCCTAAAATAATTTTGTACCTATGATTTTACAGGGTGGAAGAGACTCTTGTCAAGGAGATTCCGGAGGACCACTAACACTCTCAGTGGATGGAAGAAGAACCCTGATTGGCCTTGTATCATGGGGTATCGGCTGTGGAAGAGAACACCTACCTGGGGTTTACACCAATATCCAGAAATTCGTACCGTGGATGGATAAAGTGATGGGATAAAAGTTAATGATCGCAACTGAAGTGATGTAAACTTTGATTAATTTGGGTAGCTGAATGACTGAAAGATCATGGTTGTGTAGTATATGATGATTCATAAGTCAATTCGTGACAATTCATATAACATATTGCATCAAAAACTACTAATAGAACTTAAGATCATCTCAAAATATTGTTCTTGTTGTCAGTATATACGGCGATTCATTGTCCCAAATTAGATTTAGATTAGATACCTCGAAGTGAAGGACTGTGTGAATACTGTTATTTATTTTGAATGTAGTGTGTTAAGTTTCAACTTATATCTAACATTCCTACACGGTGCTACAAGTTTCTCCAATTTTCATCCGAAAAGTCAACAACGTTTCTAAAAACACACCCTGGGTATTTTATCCCCAATGTCAGGAAATGCTATCTATTTGCACAAAAAGCGGTATTCTATAAAAGACGTTACGACCACAGCCCAACAGCCATTTTGGTGACGAAGAAGTATGAACTGAATTTGAGTATTTCTGATGAGCTGATTGTATTCAATACGTATCACTTTTTTCGTAGAAGTTCTAGTTACCGAGAAATAAGCGATTTATTTTTAGAAAAGTGTAAAATATGCTACTTTCGACCCCAAAGATCAATATGGAAAAACAAAAATGTTGATGTCGTCAAAGTTCCTAAGTTCTATCCAAAGACCGATCTTAAAAATTTAAAGCATTTTAAGGGGTTATGTTTATTGTAAAACTGTTTTTCAGTTGATCAATGTAGACTTATGATGTGAATGATGATTATTAAATGATGCATGACTAAGAATAAAAATAAAAATGCTGTCCCTAAAATGCTTTGGGACTTTGTAAGTGGTTGTCTAAGGCCCGTATCGTCAGTCGTCCCTATAATTGTAGGGCGCCTTTATGGCCTCCTTGATTGTTATAGTTTTCTACTTCTCCGTATCAGCGCTCTATTTTGAGGTTATGTCACAAACATCTATTTGCATCAAATTGTGCTTGCTTTTGAGTTATATCATGTTTTATCAGCCTGAAATTTCCTACAATTTAAAAGAAAACATATCTTCACAATATGAGAGCGCTGACGCTGACACGGGACAAGTGTAAGCTAGAAATTTTTGAAGGAGAGAAAGCAGTATGACAATCAAGGAGGCCATACAATTGTTGGGGCGACTGACGATACGGGCCTAAGGGGCATTAAGAAATTTTAGAAACAGTAAATTTCACGTTTTTTTTATAATGTTTTTGTGGGTCAGAAATGGCATATTTTATACTCTTTCAAATATTATATCTCTATATATTCCTCGAAAACCAGAGCTATTACAGGCATTTTTCTTCACACTTAAGAATATCCGAGATCAGTTGATACTTTTTCAGCCCCAATTTGTTATTAATTTTGTTGAGGTGTGAATCAGTCAAATGTTGTTAATATTTTGGAATCGATACTATTATTACAAATATTCATACAATCGCTGCTGGAGCGTAAGTATTGCATTCATATATGGATAAGAATATAACTGATAACCCAGCAGATATTGAGATTACGTAAAACGACAAAATATAACCAGGGTTTTTAGATCCACACTATGCTCATTACCCTAACAAGTTTAGCATCCTGTAACCCAACATACAGACGCTTCAGATATGCACAACTGTAAGTTATGGCCACAATACTGACCACGTTGTCACAAGCCAATGTTTGTTATAGATGCTTCGTATAGTGGTGCGATTCTGGCGCTCCAGTTGACACGTCGATTCCGTTGACATTTTTTCGAAAGGTAATGCAAAAATATTTATACTATTTATACTTTTACGATACTTCCAGTTACTTTTCTGCACATTCTTGTAATTATTTGTTCTTATGCACCTCTTGTGATGTGAGTTTATACAAGAATTGGAGCTGTAAATCTGTATCAGATAAAGTTTTGTACTTGTAAATGATGAGCTCGTCTTATTTGTGTTGTAAAGATAATATTTGACATATTTTTGTACTTTGAAAGATATTAAAGTGTTTTTTATAAATAAGGTATTTTAATTTTTGAAGTCGTTTGTTTCAGCATGTTATATTAAATAAAATGGCGTCAAGTACGTTGACTCATGCGTGCAACGCTATCATGAAAACACAGCAAAGGTAAGCTCCTTTCAGAGAAAAGTCAACAAAAATGTGTTAAAGGTTCTTGGCTGGTCACAATAAAACTACAAGAATAACTTTCATACATCCATCTCCCTCTCACATATATATATATAGTTATATGGCCATAGTAACTACGCAGTTATTATACAATGTTGCACCAGACGCTGTGTCAGCATATGATAACAACTTCTCGCTAATCCGTTGCTAGAAAAGTGCCTTTGCTGTTTTCTGCTAATTCTTAGTCAGCTTTCTGAATGTATAAATAGGCCTCGCGGCCATATCCTGTCGTTCAATACCCGGCTAGGCACCGTAACAGTCACTTGTATAAACTTTGTTGTTCAATACCCGGCGCGACACCGTAATGTACGCTAACTGATAAGTTCAATTGTAAACCTTTGTATATTATATGGACTGAAGGTTTAGTCCTCAAATAAAATTTTTTAAAAAGTTATTTCTAAATCTAATGATTTAAGATATATATATATATATATATATATATATACATATATATATATATTCCCCTCTACGCTTGTTTGTGTGACATACATACGTTTGTTAGTTTTTTCATCAAAGTATGAATATATCACATTTATGCTTATCACTGACAGTATGAGAACTTGCTTGTCAAGGTCAAGCTAAAAAAATGGTTTTAGGAGATTCCTGAATTTTTAGTTTGAATATGGGGGAGAACTCTAAAAAGGATAGAGCTAGGAGGGAGTGGAGATCGTGGGTCTCACTGAGTGGAAAGGGATTTTGTACAGAGGACGTTTTGAAACTAAAAGATTATACCATTTCGATTCAAGAAAAATTAATAAACTAATTGTATGAAAAGATAGACCAATTAAACTAAAAAATTGGGAAGCTGCAACCGCCGCACCGTCACAAGAAGCAGTTACAACATACGCTGATATGGTTAATATGGTTACCATTGCAAACACGTACAGCAAAAAAACAAGCACCAGTATTAAAACCCACAAATACAGTCATTGTTAAGACTAATAACCAACAAGAATGTAATAATACAAAGACATCGCAAAATTTATGAATCCTACCAGTTTGAAAATTACTTTGAATAAGTTTGAAGCATGGTGAAGTGAAAATCCAATGTAAAACAAAAGATGATATCGAGAAGCTACATAAAGAAGTAAAATCAAACATGCCAGAAGCATATACAGTCAAAACTTCAGAGATAAGTAAAAAACCACAAATCAAAGTTATTGGATTTTGTCAAGAATATGCAGAAGGCGAGCTAATAAATACTATAAAATCACAAAATGAATCTTTTCAAGAAAATTCACATATGAGAATACCTACAGTCAAGAAAAAGAAAACTAGAAATCAAACAATTTTAGAAGTGGACGCTGAGACCTTTAAGTATGTTATGAATGAGGATGTTATTTTTATCGACATGTCTGTTTGCTCAGTTTTCGAGTACATCAATGTTTTGTGATGCTATGAATGTACCGGGTTTAATCACACAGCTAAATACTGCACAAAATCAGGAAGATCTATTACTTGTGGATTAGAAGGACATTCAACAGAAAACTGTAGTACCAGTGAAATGTACAAATGCTGTCCAAATTGTAAAAACGCAAACCAGGATTTTAATCTAGGATTTCCTATTAATCATGATTCATTTGACAAAAAATGTGAAGTACTCGTATATAAAAGGAAAATTGCGCGTGCGAGAGAAAACATTAGTTAATAGCAATTACTAAGCCCAGATTTGCAAAATGTGGCTAAATCTGTAAGTGATGAATATAGGTAACTGAATATACCATTTAAACATACAAGGTGTCCTGAAGATGAAGTTCAACAGTTTTTAAGGTGGAGAAAACCACTTGTATTGTGTCTTACCGAAACACATGCTACAGAAGACATCACTGATGGTGAATTACAAATTACTAATTATAAAACCTACAGATGCAACTCCAACTCCAGACATACTGGAGGTGTAGTGATTTATGTTTACCACAAAATACAGATAAATTATTCGTTTGTACCACTTTAGACTATGCATACTGGTATGCACAAATACAGTTCAAATTATTTGGTTAACGTTATGATCTTTGTACCTTTTACCGTTCACCAAACAGTTATAAGGATACATTTTTAATCTTTTTTGAAGAGAAATGCGGGGAAATGTGGAACTTTAGGAACAATATAATACTTTTAGGTGATTTTAATTTAAATGATTATTAAAATTGAAAGAAACCATAGATAACTATGGGTTCAAGCAAAAAATTGAAGAGAGTATCAGTATAACATCATTATCAGAGACTTTGTTAGATCTTGTTACTGTAAATTTCGAATGTGTAGGGATTAAGGCTGCACATACACCTAAAATTAGTGATCACAGTTGGAAAATGCTACTCTTGGTAGGACATTTTTCTGATACAAAAATTAAGAAAATCGTAAATACCATTAAGTACGAAAAACTTGAAAGAGAACTTGCTGGCCGACAACATAATAGGAAATATAAAAACTTGTTAGGATCTTGCAACTGATAAAAAAGTGATTTGCTAGACAACAAATACACCCTGGTATAATAAAAATATTAAGGCAGCTCAAAATTTGAGAGACAAATAATACAAAAAAATGTATATTCACAAAATCAAATGATGATTGGGAGAAATATAAAACTCTTGGGAAAAAATGTTTGGGTGCAATTAGAGAAGAAAAAAGGAAATTCTACGATAAACAAATCTATAATAACAAGTGCGGAAGTGTAAAGACGTGGAAAACTTTAAAAAGACTGATCAATTCGAAGCCGCATGATTGTGTAAATCAAGTTCAATTCGAAAACGGTACCGAAACATTCTTTGGTGATTGCAAACAAACTAAATGAATATTTTGTGGAAAGTATTGTTGATATTGTGGGTACTGTCAATGCAGCACCTGAGTATATGAAAATCAGTTTCCAGGGGGAAGTGGTGCATACACTTTTAAAATTTCATAGCATTGAACTATCTGAGAAAAAAAGTAAACAGTTTAAAATCAAACAACAACTGTGCCGAAATCACTACTAAAAACGTGCTGAAAGGCTGTTTCGAAATTTTGGGATATCCTGTATTAAATTGGATCAATTGTTCACTGCGAAGCAGTTATTTTTCTGAAAATTTGAAACGCTCTACAATAACACCAGTTCCCAAAATAAAAAATTCTAAAAGATGCAGCGATATGAGACCAGTAAATATGTTACCAGACATTGAAAAATTATGAAAGTCCATAGTGCATGACCAATTAATGCAGCTTATAGAAGAAAACAAAATTTTAGTGGAGGCGCAAGCAGGCTTTCGAAAAACATATTCCACAGAAACGGCTTTCCAGTTGGTAACTGAGAATTGGAGTAGTGCCATAGAATCAGAAGAAGTTGTCATAGCAGTATTTTTGGATTTGAAGAGGGCATTTGAAACGATTGACAGAGAAATTTTGTTAGGTAAATTGAAGGCATATGGTATATCAGGAAGTGTTTTAGATTGGTTTAGAAATTATTTGTCTAAAAGGATGCAAGTTACAAAAGTTAATGACACTATTTCATCAAAAATTTTAAATACGTTGGGTATTCCATAGACATGATTCTGGGACCACTTCTTCTTATTTTATACATAAATGATTTACCTGCTATAGTCAAAAAATGCACAATTCAGATGTTCGCCGATGACACTTTGATTTATATAAGTACTCAAAATATTCAGGCTGGTACCTGTTATATAAATGAAGACTTGAAACTTGTCTCAAAATGGTTAGCATCTAACAGACTCAAATTAAATACAAGTAAAACGAAAGCTATGTTAATCGGAAAAAAACAGTGTACAAATGTTCAACTGAATATTGATGGTGAAGATATTGAATTCATAGAAAATTTGGTATTCATTATGAAAAAGTTATAAATAAGATTAGTAGTAAAGTGGGATATTCATCAAGAGTTTCTGGATGTCTGAGTTCATATAGCAGAAAAATTATCTATAATACCATCATTCTTCCAAATTTTTTGTACTGTTCGGCTATTCTATATTTAGCGAATAATTTCATTTTTGAAAGACTGCAAATTTTACAAAATAAGTGCATGAGAATGATACTGTATAAAGATAAATATACTCCAATTAGACAAATACTTAGCAAATTAAAATGGCTCAATGTCAGAAATTTTTAAAATAATTTAAAACCGATAAAATATCAATTTGTTGACTAGTTGTTAGTGTGAGCATCAAGTGAACGATAGCCAGTTCCTAGTTTACATCTTGTAGGAAAACCTACATTATTACGTATAATGCGGTGAAATTGATCAACTCTTTAAGATTTCATCAGCAACTTTTCTAAAAAAAAATATAAAAACTACTTATTGAGCTCCTAGGTTATTGTCCTCTCTTTGAATCGTACGTATTATGTTTTTTGTTCTAATCGTACGCATTATGTCATATTTATTAAGTCTTCTTTTACTATTATTCTTCTTTTTCATTTTCTTTTTCAGTTTTTTTTAATTTTATTTTGAAGGTAGTAATAAGCTTTGACATTTATGGTTAAGTATAAATGGCCATTGGCCAGACTTCGCCATTTGTAAGGATACATAATTATGTATGTGTTACAATAAAGTCCATTGAATTGAATTGAATTGAATGTCATAAAAAACCTATATGATCTGAAAAAAAAACTACAATGTCACTTTTCAAGTTACGTAATACCCCCTCGAATAACGCCCAATCCCGAAATTCTAATCCCTACGAAACTACTTCTCATAATAGTCAAGGGCATCTGGAACGACAAAAGGAGGAATTTTTAAGCAATTGCACCGATTTTTAATACCTACAAGTTTTTTCATCTTTGGTATAGCAGTATTCTAGGG